GTTGAATTCAACCCTGCACCCCTGAGGTGACACAGTAGAGTTCAGGGTCTGCTGAGCAATGGATTGAATTTGTAGAGCTATATTCACTTTCTGAATAGAATAGGATACAGAGGAAGCATTGCCATCTTTCTTCTATCAGAGGCTATTTCTAACCATTCTGTGGCCATGGTACAATGTCTAGAAGGGGGTGTAAATAATGGTTCATCATCAGCCATATGACAACATGGAAACTGCTAAAAAGAAGTCTCCAGCCCTACTTGAACACCATTTTTTCTACTTCATTTCAACGCTGCGTGGCACATTAACTTTGTTCCTCCAGTCACCGAGGCCATTTGACACTAGACATAAATGATTCACCATTGGGAAACAAAGTGAAATCCCAAAGCTAAAATCAAGTTAACTGAAGCATGTCTAGTAGGGAAGGGTACCTATTTGGCTACTTGAATTTATTTGTTTTAATCTAGTTGATATGTCTGGAGAACAAGTTCAGACGAGTCATAATTCTTTAAGCACAGCTACAAATATTTGATGAAAAAGACTGAACGAGCTACATCACAGCAAGTTTGAAGGAAAATGGAAGGAATCAGCTGTGCATCAGGGAGATTATGAGCTCGGCTGGCAAAACACACAGATGTGGCAACATTCACAATAGTGCCAAGCTAGACCTTGCTTGTGCCTACCAATAGGTGGGATGAAGATAGCTACCCCCTACTTTCTGGCTACTTCCAGAGGCTCCCTTTCTCTTCTAACAGTACCAAACCAGATCCCTCTCATGTTTGTCACAAATTAATTGTTCTGGGTCGTGCCACCTCTTGCCTTCTGTTTGGACTCGTGGACATATAACCTGCTGCTCATGCCTATTATATGGCAGACTTCCTAATGACTCACAGGACACAACAGTGCCTCCCAGGACCTGGAGGGACAACTTTGAACCTTCTAATCACCTGCCTTCCACAGTGAACATGTCCCTATGCACTTATTTCTTGCCTAGACTCAGGAAGGTTAACACAGTCTTACCCACTTTCACTCTCCTTATTCCAGCAATACTGAACCTCCATTTGCCAAAGAGCAGGTCTCCCTTCCAGCCTTAGCTTTCCACTCCTTCATTCCCATCCACCTCAGTCCTAAGTCCCCAATATCCCACTTTAGATCTCCCTTCTCCTTCCTTTTGTATCCTCTACAACAGGGCTTCTTAAACTTTTTTCCTCTGGTGACTCCTTTTCACTTTTAGGGTTAAGCAGCATTAATTGGTGTTGCATGGGCTAAGGGAGTGTACAGTATAAAGTGCGGTGCTATGTGTTCAGAACCAAGGCTGCCAGAAACACCTTGTGTTCATTACGCATTTGATTTGGAATTAATTTTTGGTCGTTGCACGTTCAGAAACTTTTTACTGTTGCCAAATTTTTCACGACCACATATGGGATTGTGATCAGCAGTTTAAGAAACACTGTGAATACCTGCTCCATAATTAATAAAGTTCCCTTCATCTTAAACTTCTCTTCCAGCCCCTTCACCTTCTAGCACTAAGACCTGGCTCCCTCCAGGTGACTCTGAATCTCTGGCCAGTCTTCCAATATACTTTTTAACTCCCCCCGCTCATATGTCTGTACTTATTGGACACTGAGGAAAAGTAGATGCTCCCCATTGCTATTTCCAAACTCTCTCTCTCTATAGCTCTCACTTAGCAACATCTTTTTTGAAATTCATACTGTCCAAATTTTATTACCCAATCCAGATTCTATTAACTTCTAACTGTCATGGCATTCTTTTTCCTTCCTCAATGAGTTTAGTGCCTAGTTCACAGTCTTCTTTTTGATTCCAACTCCTGTCCTTATACTAGAAGCTTTCAATATACATCTGATACCCTTAACACTTTAATTTTTTATTTCCTCAATCACTTCAGCTCCCATGACCTTCTCTTCTATTCAACCTCAGCTACACACAAGGAAGGTAATAACATCACCAATATGTGTTTCACTTCCATGTACATCAACCCCAAATTCCTTTATTTGATCATCCCACCAATCCATATTCTTCATGATCCCTGGTTCTATTCTTCATCTTTACTATGAACCCTAATATATCCATCCCTCAATAGTTTCCTAGGCCATCATCCTTGCTCTGGCTACATTTTCTTCCCATTTCAATCCTGACCCCTTGGTGGACCAGTTTAGTTCTACAGTATGATCTATTTTCAAATTTCTTGCCCATTTGTCCAACCACTTATCACATTTTTTCCAAGCTCCTAGTCTATCTTAATACCACCATCTTCCTTCTTTGCTCTTAATGTATGATGCTGAGTAGAGCTAGAGGAAATCATGAAACTGTACTAAATAGGCAAAATGCAAATTTATGTTATATAATCTCAAGTGGGCCCTCACCGAAAGGCAATCATTTTACTTCTCCCTAATTGGTTATCTATCCAACTCACTATAATGGCTGTGCTAAACCTTCCTTTTTATTCTTAAACCTCCCAATGCGACCACTTCTGCCTACTCTCATAGGTGAGGACTTCACTTCTAGGTTCACTGAAAAAATTTGAGACCATTCACCAAGACTTTCTTCTTCTCTCTTCTACATTTTATATCCCCCTGACATCATCACTCACTATTTCTCACCTTATTTCAATCTGCAATAATGAGGTGGTCCTTCTCTTTGCCAAGTTCAACTCCACTATGTGCAACTTTGATCCCATTCACTCCCAGCATATTACCTTCAATATTATCTCTCTCTCTCTCTCTCTCTTATCTTCATTTTCTCCCTATCTTCTAACTTCTCCACTGTTGCCTAAAAATATGCCCATGTGACTGCCATCTTTAAAAACCACCCTCATTTACTCTCACCATCCCCTCTAGCTTCTGTTCTATATTCCTCCCTCTCCCTTCTTCTATGACTAAGATATGAGAAAGACATCTACACTTAGTATCTCCACTATCTCTCTTCTCATTCTCTCCGAAAAACTCTGCAATTTAGATTTCAACCTCATCACTCAATTGAAACTGCTCTCTCCAAAGTTACAGATAATCTCTTAATTGCCAGATTGAATGGTCTTTTCTCAGGCAGTCAATTGACAAGCATTCATTAGATGCTTATGGGCCAGGCATCATGCTAAACTCTGTGGATACAAAAAAGACAAAAGATAATCTCTGCTGTCAAGGTTTTCATCTTGACCTCTCTGGAGCAGTTGACACTTGAGTACTTTCTCTTTTTTTGTTGGGTTTTCATATCACCTTTTCCTGCTGATTCTGAACTCTATTGCTGTTAAAGGCAGCACTATCTTCTAGTCACTCAGGTTCATCACCTCAGAGTCGTTCTTGACCTTTTAATCTTTTATTCATCTCATGTATCTACTCAGTTGCCAAATTTTGTAATTTCCCTCTAATATATCTCCTGTATCTTCTCACACACTTCCACCCCTTTTTAGGCCCTCATCTTCCCTTGCCTTGATTATTTCAATGACCTTCTAATTGATCTTCCTGCCTCAAGTCTCTCCCTACTTCCATTCATGCAGCTACCAAAGTAGTTTTTCTGAAACATAGGTCTGACCATGACATCAGTAATCTCCAGTGGCTCCCTATTACCTCTAAGATCAAATATAAACTACTTTGTTTGACATTTAAAGATTTTTACAACCTGGAGTCTTTCTGCCTTTGTAATCTTACATATTATGTCTCTTGATGATCCAATCATTCTTGCCTACTATCAGAGGCATGCAGGAATCAGCTCCTTCTGGCTAGCTGATTGGTAAAATTTCAATGTGAGTATTTGTGCCTTTGTACGAATTTGTACCAGGTAGTGCTGTTAATAGAGTGCTAAACCTAGAGTCAGGAAGACCTCAGTTCAAATCTAGCCTCAGATACTTCCTACCTGTGTGACCCTGATATTTCCTAGTTGTGTGACCCTGGGCAAGTCACTTAATGCTGTTTGCCTTAGTTTACTCATCTGTAAAATGAGCTGGAGAAGGGAATAGCAAACCATTCCAATATCTTTGTCAAGAAAACCCACAAAATGGGGTCATGCAGAGTTGGACATGATTGAAACAACTGAACAACAACAATAACAACATTTATGCTTTGGAAATGGCCAAACACTAAAAATCAAGGCTTGATTTATTGTTTTGTGATTGCCTAGACTTAAGAAAGTGATGGAGAAAGGGTTAATCCTATAGATAAAACTTAAAAGTCTGTTCAGTGTTTTATATACCTCTGCCTAAGATGCTCCTTTTTCTGTCTCCATACCTTTGTACTCCTTGTCCCCAAGATTGGAATGCTTTCCCTCCTTTATCTCTGTCTCCTATAATTCATCTCTCCCTTTAAGATTCATCTCGAACTTTCTGTGGGAGGATTTTCCTGGCCCCTCAGCCAGTGGTGTGTCTTACTCTGTGGTGAGCATCTGTCTCCTCTGTATAAGCCTGTTTATCTACAGGTTATCTCTCCCAATAATATGCAAGCTTCTTGATAACAGATTGTTTTTGCTTTTTATCTGACTCCTCAGAGCTTAGCAAAGTGCTTGGCACATAATAAGCTTTAATGAACTTTGGTGATTGATTGACTAAGCAAAAGAAATCACCAAAAGGCAGGGAGAGAGAGGAAGCCTCTTTACATATCTGAAACCAAAGTCTTAAGGAGGAATTCTTTCCCCTAGGTTACATTCAATGGGAAGGTTTGCTTGGTGCAAAGCATAGCTGAGCAGTGCAGTTATCTGGACATAGGGGTGGCCTATTCTACAAAAAATCCAGACCAAGTTCTTCAAACTCCTGAAGAAGGTAGATGGGAATGACTATAGGGGAAAGTAGTCCCCATAGGAGAGCAGCCTCAGTTATGACACCTGGAAATGGTCACTCAGGGCCCAGTGATGGAGCATTGACAGTCAGTCATATCATGTGGACTTGTGGAGAACTGCCGGGGGAGAAAGGATACTACATCACCAAGCTACCATAGGCAGAAAGTGCCACTCATCCCATTCCTATCAGCATTTAGTCCAGAGTCCTGTTCACTTACCAATTCCTTCTTCTTCATGCACTCCATCAGTATTATGAAAAGATGCTGAGCTTGAGTTCGAGTATAGGTGAACGTTTTCTGGATGGTAACTAGCAATTGGTCCCTCAAAGATTCGTTAATGAGGCTGAAAAAAAGAAACGTCATTAAAATGTATATACAACATCGAATTTATGGCCATGAACAAAAAATTAAAAGATTAGTTGCTTTTTTCAAGGACTAGAGAAGGGTAGGAAATATAGATTTGCAGAAGGACGCAATGGAGGGAAAAGCAAACTTGTTGAGTGGAAAAAAATGTGCTGTCTTTGAAGCAACAGTTTTTCACCTCTGCGATTTGATTTCAAATCCGGTCTGTGCACAGGTTGACAGAAAACTGTTGTAGGCTTCCAGCTATGAGGATTTCTAAATGAAAGCTAGCATGGGGATTTTCCATTTGGATTCTGATTTCAGTTGGGATCTCTATTTGAGTTGAACATGCCAATGTGCCAGATGGGCTAAGGAAACTTGTTTTTAGGTGTTTTTTTTTTTTTGAAAGCCACAATGCTTATGTCTAATAAGGACCTTTAGGTGATTGGTTATTATGATAGTGACTAAAGTTGTTTAAATGAAGAACAAAGGTATTTGTCAGGCAGGCCCTTGGCAAAATTGTTTACAGAGGTTTTTAATATGGGATCTATGTGTTCACTTTTAAAAAGAATTATAACTATTACAATGGAGTTAATTTCCTTTGTAACCCTGTGTATTTTATTTTATGCATTAAAAATTATTTTGAGAAAGGGTTTAGTCTTCAACAACACTCCAAAGGGTTTAGAAGGATGTTTGACTTTTCTCCCCACTCCCAAATTCTTTACTTTTCCCTCCTCCAGTCCTTTCCATACAACTTCAGCAACATGCCCCTCTCCCTTAGAGGCATCCATTCCCTTTCTTTGGGTTTTTAGAATTCCCAGGAAAAGGTTCTGACAAAAGTTAAGTTACACTATTATGGGAATTTAACCAATGTTTAGTTCTCCCTGGGGCAGTTACATTTTAAGCTTTATCTCTGATTATGAAATAGGATGACAGGTCTTTTCCCACCAAGATGGCATAGAAGATGAAACAGTTGATCTCCCCAAGTCAGAAGCCATGTGATAGTCCTTGAAGGCCAAAAAGACTGTGCTGAAGGGAGGACAAAGGCACGGAAAAGAAGGAAATCATAATGTCTTCTGCCTCCTGGTAACTCAAGATACCACTAAGACACTTCTGGTTCAGATAGCCCAAGGGCTTTTGGAAAAATACCCCTAGGATAAATAAGGTTGATCATTATGCTATCTATCACGTTTCTCTGGGTCTGCCATGAAATAGACTCAGGACACCACCACCTTGGTATACACATTGTGGATATCAAGGCCAACACATATCGGATCAAGCAGATTGTAAAGAAGCTCTATGATACAGATGTGGCCTAAGTCATCATCATGATGGAGAGAAGAAGGCCTATGTCTGACTTCTTCCTGACTATAATACTTTAGAAGTTGCCAACAAAACTGGGATAATTTAAACTATGACTTGTGATAGACTTTTACTAAATTTTTGGAAATCCAGATGGTCCATGAGATGGTTTCCTACTGTTTGGTTTGTTAAATGTTTTCTATTTCTTGTGCATTTCAATCATTCTTAGATTTCTTTTCTTTCTTTTTTTTTTTTAAGGGCAGCAGCACATGAAGGTGGAAACACACTGTCCAACCAACACTTAATTTAAACACTATGAACCCCCTTCTACTGGCATCCAGGTAGTTTGCTTACATCTGCCATCAGGCGGCTGCCTAGAAACAGCATTAATGTAGATACAGAGCCTTGGCCAGAGTTCGAATCTCACTTCAGGCTGTGAGTTCCTTGAGATCTGGGACTTCTTTCTTTTCATTTCTTCATACCTTTCGTGCTTAGCACAACAACTGGTGCTATGTAGGTGCTTAATAAATGTTTGTTGACTGACTGGCAAATCACTTAACTTAACTTGGCCCATGTTTCCTCATCTGTAAAATGGGGATGAGTAGTGTATCATAGTATATAAAGATTTTGCTTCAGAGTAGAAAGAACTAAATTCAAGTCCTGTCTATGACATATATTGATTGTATGACCCTGGGGAAGTCACTGGACCTTTGTTTCCTCATCACTAAAATAAGGAGGTTAAGACGTTGGCCTCTGGGGTTCCTTTCAGCTCAAAATTCATGATCTTACGAGCCTTGTACCAGGCTGTTAATTATATACATTTATAATTGTAGCACTTCACAAATCTTGAATGTGAAGTATTCCAGAGAACTTTATACCCATACCGTCATACTTTCGTGAAATATTTCTGATTATCCAGTTAGAAAAGCCATTTCCACATGCAGATTTAAAAAAAAATAGTATCTCAAAATTTGTTTTCCTGTCTTTCTGCTTAGCCCTAAGGATGACAGAAAGGTAAGGTCCAGCAGAGATCTCAGAGAAAATCTAATTCAAGTTCCAAACTTTGCAGATGAGGAATCTGAAGCCTAGAAACAGGGAATAACTTTTCTAAGGTCAACCAGGTAGTTCACAGCAGATATAGGACTAGAGTCCAGGACCCCTGACTAATATTCCAATGTGCTTTCCTATTCACAATTATTATTGCTTGCTACTCCTCTCTTTGTGAAACAAAAAATTGTGATGTTCGAAACAAAGCTACCAAAGGTGGCTCAATGAATAGAATCCTGGGCCTAGAGTGAGGAAGACCTGAGTTCACTCTGGCTTCATACACTGACAGTTGTCTGACCCTGGGCAAGTCACAACCGCTATCTGCCTCAGTTTCCTCAACTGTAAAATGGGGATAATAATAGCACCTACTGGTTATTGTGATGATCAAATTAGATAATATTTGTAATAAGCACTTGGCATAATGCCTGCCATCTGGTGAGTGCTATATAAATGTTTATTTGCTTTCCTTTCCTCCCTGCTTCTACATTCCCCTTCCCCCAAAGTCACTCAGCATTTTCAGAGAAAGACTCTATAACATTCTAATTATACCAGCAACATGTGACTCTTTGGGATGAGGGTTTTCAAGGGCCAATTAGTAGATGCCTTCAAGATGCCACAGGGTACCTTTTCTGGTACAGACTGATGGTGATACCAGTATTGATGGTACAGCCTCGCTGCTGTACTTTGGACTTGAAGCTGAGCTTGCTGTGTAAGGGTATCATGAGAGAGCTGCAGACTAGAATGGCTTGCCCACTGGGCCACTAGAGAGCACTTACTCAATTCAGCTAGGCTCTTGTTTTTGTCAGATCTATTCAAGGCTTAAACTCAAAGATGAACACTGGTCAACAGTAATTCTTTTCTATATATTTCCTTCCCTTTCCTTGTATGGAACACCAGCTACGTTTATCCTACATGGATATTTAGATCATCTCTAACTAGCAATCAGGATAGGGACAGTACAAACTTTTATAGGCTGAAGGTCACTCTTGCGGCTGACTCTTCAAAACTACTTATGAGGCCAAGCAGAACTAGAAAGGATTGTAGAAACCAATGCCTTCATTTTAGGAGAGGAAACTGAGCAAGTGACTTGTCCTCAACAAATATATGTATATACACGTACATATATACTTCTATAAATATCTATTTATATCTACTTATGTAGATATCTATATCTACATATTTATATACACATAAACATATACATACTTACAGATATGTATATTAAACTCTGTGTTTCCAAATAGCATTAAACTTTTTATATTTCATTGCATTACAGTATAACATTATTTGGGGCAACTAGGTGGTATAGGGGTTAGAGTGCTAGGCCTGGAATCAGGAAGACTTGAGTTTCAGTTTGGCCTCAGACACTTATTAGCTGTGTGACCCTGGGCAAGTCACTTAACCCTGTTTACCTCAGTGTCTTCATCTGTAAAAAGAACTGGAGAAGGAAGTGTCAAACCACTCTAGTATCTCTGTTGAGAAACCCTCAAATGGGGTTACTAAGAGTAGGACATGATTGAAACTACTGAACAACAATATTATTATTTTAGGAGGGGATCAGGAGGGAACGGACCCGTGATTTCACTGATGTAGGCAATATAAGGAATTCTCTCTCTCTCTCTTTTTTTTTTGGCTAGGCAATGGGGTTAAATGACTTGCCCAGGGTCACGCAGCTAGTAAGTGTTATCTGTCTGAGGCTGGATTTGAACTCTGGTCCTCTTGAAACCAGGGCCGGTGCTCTATCCACTGCACCACTTAGCTGCCCCCGGGAATTCTCAGATGAAGAAACTCCTTACTAATGCAGGTTGGAACATTCTCTTCAATTTGTAGTCTTAGAGAATTGCCTAGATTGTTGAGAGATTAAATGATTTACTCAGGGATCATCACATGGCCACTATGTATCACAGTTGGGATTTGAATTCTCCTCTTTCTCCACTGCATCATTCTGCCTCTTGATATCATTTTAATATATCATGTCATATTTCACCCATTAGAATGTGAGCTTTTTGATAGGAGGGGTCATTTCATTCATTGTATTTGTATCTCCCATGTCTGGCATTTAATATCATACTCATTGATGGACTGATATCTTGAAAGATCCCATGTAAAAAGCATATCTTATTTTTACTGAAATGGGTAAGGCATGTGTGATTGGGGGGACATCTATCAAAGCATGGGCTCTCTCTCTCTCAAAATGTTTTTAATTTATGTGCTTCTTTGGGAAAACTGTTTGTGCTATCCACATCTCCACATTTGTTGGCTGAAATATGAGTTAAACAGGAGGGCACTGGGCTGCATCAATGAGTAACAAATGGTAACAGCAGTAACAACAAGACTGCCAAGGCCACATGAATGATGGTGCTCCAAAAAGCATTGTGTATTAAGAAGGTGAGAGCCAACAGATTTCTCCCTACCAGTTCTGTCCCCTGGCCTTGTGAGTGGGGATTGAAACCAGAGTATTATCATACAGTCTCTGCACGTCTTTGCTAGTCAGGTCATAGAAAGAAGTCTACATATCCAAGATGACATGAAATGAGGACAGGTCTAATGAGAACGAGGCAGTAGGTGAAAGAGAAATCATGTTTGCCTTGGGTCTCTCACTTTTCTTTTCTTTTCTTTTTTTTTTTTTTTAGGCTAGTGGGGTTAAGCGAC